ACTCTTTCCTTTCCTCTCCCTCTCCTTAGCTGAGCACCCCCCCTCCTCCGGATAACAATGTTGCTCACCTAAACTTACATTTGGACCCAGTTAACCTATTCTTTTAGAACAATACAAGAAAGCACTGTTAATCATCTTGCAAATAAACAATCATAACTTGGTGCCCAAGACTGACTCAAGGTTACAATAGTCACTGTCCATTAGTAAACTTAAATTTAGCTATTTCCTCGCTTCAAGGAAAATTCCTTCCAGTTTGAATCCTTGTAACAATTACATTTTTACCATTTTAGCTATTTCGGTTATCAGAACAAACACCGAATAAAGTATATAAGAATTAATTATGAATGTCTACATACTAAAATATTAAATTATGTAGGAGAAGAAGAAAATATTTTATATCAATCTGAATGTTTTGAAAAACAATCCTGGGAACCATTTTAAGTCTGGACATACAAAGCCAGAAAGTTTACATGCATTCCTTCCTGCTAGATCAAAGGGCTAACCAATGGAGAGTATATCAACAAATTTGATTGATCCAATATGTGTTCTAGATCAGATAAACTTGGAGAATAGAGACTGGACTAATCAGATAATCACATCTCTCACTTCCTGTAGGCCCATTGCCTGTCTTATCAAAAAGCAGTATTGTTAACACACAAGCAATTTTTATTAATTCAGTCCGTTTTAAAGTCTATTCACCTAAGATTCTTGTTACCCCTTAAGGCTCCTTCTTACTTACAACATGGCCAATAGAGTTGAGCCTCCATCAGCAAAAAGGCCTTTGATAAAAAGTTCATCCATGACATAGGGCACTGATGGTGGAGTGAAGTGAACTAGCTGCAAAAATAGTAATATTCAGTAAGTTATAATACCATGACATATAATAAACTGACCAAAAGCCTTATTACAGAAACACTTCTAACTAAAGACTTCAATTCCCAGGGACCACCCCATGTGCGTTGGACTGAGGTTCCCCAAGGCACTACTCAAAGAGTAGCCAGCTTCAAGTGAGGCCTGCCACATCAAAATCTGAAGGACCTCCAGTATCTTTTACAAGTAGTACTTAAGGGCAAATTTTATCAAGTGCAATTTTTCCCATCAGTGCAGCAAAGTGTTCAGATCATCTGAAGGAATTCCCCTTACATGTAATGGATAATAAGAAACATACTATTCTTCCATACCTACACTTTGCTTTGGCTCCCAAACAGAAGCACTCAGCCTGTGAAAAATGTGGACTGAAGGTCAAACTAATGGGGGGGGGATTTATATTTATTTATTCATAAGTCCTCCTGATCATGTGTATAAAGTGTGGTGTGAAATTCACCATCCACCTTACTAATACTTTAAACATTGCTTTAAGTGTGCCGTGTTTGTTTTCCTCCATGAGGACAAGATGGATTTCACTTGACAAAGTGTAAACTGATACACAGGAAGAAGAGGAAGAGGAAGAAGAAGTGGAGGAGGAGGAGGAGATTGGATTTATAACCCACCCTTCACTCAGAGTAGAGCAGTTTATAATCTCCTTCCCTTCCTCTCCCCACAACAAACATGCTGTGAGGTAGGTGGGGCTGAGAAAGCTCTGACTGAGAACTGCTCTTGAAAGAACAGCTCTGAGAGAACTGTGGCTGGCCCCATTTTGCCCCGCAGCTGCATGAGGAGGAGTGGGGAATCAAACCCGGTTCTCCCATATTAGAGTCTGTGCTCCTAACCATTACATCAAGAGAAGGTTCAGAGTCTGGAGGGTAGGATTACTACCCTTCATGAGATCAAGGAAGGGGATAATTTCATTAATAGAAGCCATGAGGCTCTGCAGAGGGATGTGGAGCCTGGTCAAAGGGGCAACACAGTAGTTGAATTCCCTAATGAACGTCCTCTGAGTGTTGCAGCATGAGCCCAAAGGCATCAGGCAAGATGGTACTCAGTGCCACTGGAACTCAGGAATCTATTCCAGGCCCTTGTGGTGGCAACTCACTTGGATTGGAGCAGAGGAAGAATCACCAGGACAAGAAAGACAGTGAAGAGCCAGACCAACACACATACTGGCTGGGGAATACACTTCTGGGTACCGGTGTGTGTAAACAATATCTTGGGATATGGGTGGACTGTAAGCAAAACATGATTAATCAGTGTGATGCTACAGCAAAAAAGGCTAATGCAGTCTTGGGATGTATCAATAGAGGTATAACATCCAAATCACAAGATATCATAGTCCTGCTACACACTGCATTGGTCAGGCCACACCTGGAGTGTGTGCAGTTCTGGAGGCCTCGCTTCAAAAAGGATATGGACAGAATGGCGTGGGTGCAGAAGAGAACAATGAAGACTATCAGGGATCTGGAGACCAAGCGCTATGAGGAAAGGCTGAGGAACTTGGGAATATTCTCTCTTTAAAAGCTGTCACTTAGAGGAGGGCAGGAAGCTGTTTCTGCTGGCAGCAGAGGATAGGGCTCAGAATAATGGGTTTAAATTATGGGTGGAAAGATACCAACAGGATATTAGGAAACTTTTTTTACAGGAAGAGTAGTTCAGCAGTAGAATTGGTTGCCTAGAGAGGTGATGAGCTCTCCCTCACTGGCAGTCTTCTAGCAGTGGCTGGGCAAACACTTGTCAGGGATGCTTTATGTGGATCCTGCACTGAGCAGGGAGAGGGACTAGATGGCCTGGATGGCCCCTTTCAATTCTATGGTTCTATGATTTTAAGTTTTTAAAAAACAAGCCTCATTTTACCTGTGAATGGAAAGACATATGAATAAATATACGTGGATCCTCCTTTTGTCTCAAAGTTTTACCCTTACTGCTGAGCTGAAACTGATGTATCCCAAAGTCAATTCGTCAAAATCAGTCTTGGAAGTTCATAAGCCCCTTGCCATTTCAACCCTGATGGGAAGTCTTTATACAACTAGCCCATGAACAATGTTTGTGTTTGTGTGGATATTCTACCACCATTCTCACCCTTTTCCTACATACCATACCGCCCATGAACATCACCCAGCCTTTTAAAAAATGAGGAGGGTAGGGACACCCAGGGAAACGCTGAACAACACTTTGGGCTCAGGAAACAATTTTTCTCCAGACCAGTTTGGCTGGAGATCCTGAAGGTTTTTTGGGCATGGAACAAGGGTCACTGGGTATGTGTGTGTGGGTATTTGTGAATTTCCTGCATTGTGCAAGGGGTTGGACTAGATGGCCCTGGAGGTTTCTTCCAACTCTATGATTCTATGGAGGAAGAGTTAAGACAGACAAGCGAGCCAATGGGGTGCAGTGGCTACATGGGAATCCTAAGTCTAACACCTGCTGTGCTGCAGATGCAAAGCTCACTGGGTGACCCTGGCCACACCATGATCTCCACTAAGAGCCTACTGCACAGAACTCTGCTACCATGGACTCTTCAGGGCAAGAGCTGAATGCAATTATTAGAAATAAAGCTAGCTGGGGGAGTCACTGAGGAAATGCATGTGCTTGCATGTGGAAGGGGTCAGAAATCCCACCCCATACCTCAAAATCTCATCTCTAAATTATCTGTACTTCAGCAGGCTGAATCCCCACCCCCATTTTCCTTTAACTGACATAGCTTCAGTCAACATTCTACCCCTTCTATAGCATCTTCATTCTCATCAGGCTGTAGTGCTTTTTTTTCCAGTTGTTTCCTTTTGGCTAAGGTCATATTTTTCTGCATATCCAGAGAGCCCCCTAAGTAAGAAGAATTCCCGGGGTGGCCCCATTGCATAGAATTCCTAATCCAAATAAGGATCAGCCAGTTTACTAATAGATATAGTGAGGCAGAAGAGGTCACATTTTGACTGATCAACTGATAACCTCATAGAGACACTGCTGTATAAATATTAACATAATATTAACATACTATATCAATGTATTTCATAGATTACAACAAAGCTTTTGACTGTGTGGATCACGAAAAGCTATGGCTGGTTTTAAAAGAAATGGGTATGTCACAACATCTGACTGTTTTGATGTGCACCTGTACTCTGGACAAGAAGCTACCATTAGCACAGAAAATGGAGAAACAGAATGGTTTCCAACTGCCAAAGTGTCAGACAAGGATGCATTTTAACTCCCTACCTCTTCCATCTGTATGCAGAACATAACATAAGGAAAACTGGGTTAGATTTAGATGAAGGTGGAGTGAAAACTGGTGGAAGGAACATTAACAATTTAAGATATGCAGATAACACCACATAACTGGCAGAACATAATTAAATTGTGAAATGACTACTGATAAAGTTTAAAGCAAAAAGTGCCAAAGCAGGATTACAGCTGAACATCAAGAAGACTAAACTAATGACTACTGAGGAATTACACAACTGTAAGGCTGATGATGAAGAAATGGAAATTGTTGAAGATTTTCTATTCCTTGGTTCAATCATCAACCAAAAGGGAGACTGCAACCAAAAAATCGGAAGGAGATTGAGAGTGGGAAGAGCAGCCATGAAGGTGCCAGAAAAGATCCTTCAGTATAAGGATGTGTTGCTGGTGACAAAGTTCAAGATAACTCATACTGTAGTATTCCCCATGACTATGTACAGGTGTGAAAGTTGGGCAATGAAGAAAGCTGATAGGAAGAAAGTTGATTCATTTGAAATGTGGTGTTGGGGGAGAGTTTTAGGGATCCCATGAACCACCAAATAGCCAAATAAGTGGGTTCTAGATGTGGGCCCGAACTCTTCCTAGAAGCTAAAATGACTAAACTGAAGCAATCATACTTTGGTCACATTATAAGAAGACAAAAGTCACTGGAAAAGACCGTCATGCTATGAAAAGTTGAAGGCAGCAGGAAAAGAGGAAGCCCCAACATGAGATGGATTGAGTCAATCAAGGAAGCCATGGCCCTCAGTTTGCAAGACCTGAGCAAGGCTGTCAAAGACAGAATATTTTGGAGGTTATTAGAACATGAAATTAAGAAAACTTCAGAGGATGGCAGAAGACAGGAGGGCCTGGCATGATGTGGTCCATGGGGTCGTGAAGAGTTGGACTCAACTGTGCAACTGAACAACAACAACAACAATTTTTAGGGTGGCCATAAGTCAGAAGCAACTTAACAGCATATAACACACACACTACATCAATATAACCATTCATATTGCAAACAGTTTTCCTACTTGACTCATGCAGAGGAATGGATGAAGCAGGAACACCAAATGTACACACCGTATGACCAGCTTCTTGGAGAAGCTTCCTAGTTTCATGCACAGCCCGCCTCATGCAAGGAGGGAGCAAGAAATAGCCATCAGTATCATAATACCCAATCCGGAGTGGAGCAGTGCTGGAGTATATCTAGAAAACAAAACAGAGAGAGAGAGAGAAACGTTCAATTAATACAATCAGTGTTTGAGGAACTGTCAAAGCAAACTAGGGCAATTAAATTCTGTGATTGGCTGCACACTCTAGGCAAACTAGAATGATGACCAAAATGGGACAGCCACCAAAGCACAGCAACCTCCTTTCCAGGTCCTTTGTAACATGGAGTAATGAAAATGTTGCATTTTCTTCCTGCTGCCACCACCACCTCTACCAACAGGCAATGACATGGCATGAGAGGATGACATCATGTCACATGTTTGCATTAATACACATGATGGGCAAAAAGAAAGGGAATTAAGAGATGCCATGTGGATAACTGTCCCATTCTTTTTATACCTACTTCTGACTAGTCTCTATACAATTTTATATTAGAATTGCTTCTCTTTGCAGAAATCAAAGTATACTGTTAGTATAGCCTCTCTTTACAGCCAGTGACAGAGACTGAATTAAAACATTCTCAAGGCATAAGATAATGGGAACACTCAAACTTTTGCAATATTTCTTTGTCAACTGTGCAAGGAAGTCTAACTATAACCATTGACCTTAGATGTCATATGTAAAGTATTTGTGCTGTAAACAGTTGTCGGAGCTTGCTGCAGAAGTGACATTACTGCTTCTTGGATAGCTTGAGAACAAAGAATGTTACACTATGTAACTCTATACTCGCAAAGGGGACATTTTAAAGCAAAAGAAGAAGAATTATATACCAAGAAAGGGAAAATTAATCATTATTCTGAAAAAGAGAAGTAGTCCCCAGAACATCCCCAGAGAAAGTTCTTACAAGGACAAAACAGATGAGATGCGGAATGATGAGACTGTCAGCATTTTTAAGCTTAATTAAAGCTGCATGGGGCCCGATTCAGAATGAGGCTATGTGAGGAACAGAAAAAGGATTTCCACACACGCAGTTGCACTAATCAAAACCAACCAGCCCACACACAAACACGCAACTGAACAAGTCTCCAGCTGAGGGAAGGACTAGGGTTGCCAGTTTCCAGGAGATGTCTGGAGACCTCCCAGAATCACAACTAGTCTCTCCCCCTGGAGAAAATGGGCACTTTGGAAGGTGGCCTCTATGGCATTATACCCCTCTGCGGTTCCTTCCCTCTGCAAATCCCATCCTCCCCGGTCTCCACCTCCAAAATCTCCAGGTTTTTCCCAACAAAGAACTGGCAACTCTAGCGGGAACCTTTATAAAGACTGCCAGATTCATAATCAAACTCTGCCACTTGAGAATCCTTTAGGACTGAATGGTCACAACATTCCTGCAGAATATACCTTGCAGCCTAATTTTTAATCTACCTCTTCATTAAACAGCATAGGTGGCACAGTGGGATCCAGCTGGAACATGTCATCGCATAAGAGAGCCTTCATGCACAGAACCAGGCTGTCCACATCCCTCGCCATTGGTCCCAGTGATAATGTAACTAATTGAAGGGAGAAGATGGGCATGAAGACACATAGATCAACACACTGGCTCTGGTGTCACAAAACATACAGCACTGATAAGCGCTCTCACATTATGAGGAATGAATTAATGACTCCCTAAAATGCATTCTCTAAGATTGTCTTCCACATAATTTTGTAATTGTTTATAAAATTCTCGCATTTTTAAAAGTAAAGGATATATCATCTGCCTAAAAACAAAACAGCCCCCTTAAAGCAAGGAGAGAGGGGTCCTTTCCACATTTGCCTGCCACTCCAGATTTTCTCAGTGTTCAAGTTGAGGCAATTTAAGTCCATGGCAAAACAGCAGGCAAATAACTCGGGGCAACAGCAGTCTGAAACCAGGCTGACAACTGAAGGGAGACTGTAATGCAGAATGGGGGGGAAACCCAGAATAAAAGAAAGTTGAACTCAATATTAGGTTGAGGACAGAGGGTGGCACTTGGAGGGGGAATTATCTCAGAGACACCTGTTAGAATGTGGTGTGCTGCAGGGGTCAATTCTCTCCCCAATGCTGTTTAATAGCTACATGCACCCCTTCACTCAGATTATTCAGAGGTATGGGCTGGGTTGTCATCAATATGTGGACCTGTCATTATCTAGGCTGTGCAAGCACAGCCTAGCAGGCCTAAAGAGTCTGGCTAGCAGAGGGAGGAGGCTGGGCCTACAAATCTCAGAAGGCCTTGGGAAGTTTTGGCACCCATTTTGACCAATAAGGAAAAAGAGGGCTGGGGAATAAGAGAACTGGTACAACAGGGAAAGCTGTTCTTCTTCCCAGAGGGCAGAGCCAGAAGGAAGGCTGCTGTGGGAAGAAACCCTCATCCTGAGGGAAGGGTGAGTAGTCTAAGGCCACTGCAGATAGTGATCTAGGGACAGTACATATTTAGATGTGTTAGGGCATTTGATTTCTTTTCTTTTCACCCACTTACTGTTATTATTTTGCACCTTGTTGTTTGACCTCCTATAAAATATTTTCCTTGTTGTACTCTGCCTGGTCCTCATGCCTATTATTTGGTCAAACGGGAGGTCTGAAGGTCTTGGGAGGGTGCTCTGGGCCTTCTCAAGGGAACCTAAATCCAGAGTGGTGGCAGCGTCAGGTGACACCCCACCTGAGCCGTCCAGATTAGATTATTGTAATTCTTTCTACATGGGGCTGCCCTTGATTCTGCATCTGGAAACTGCAGCTGGTGCAGAACGCAGCTGCACAGATACTGATGTTGCTACCTGTGCGGGCCCACATCCGCCTGGTGCTGCGCGAAGTGCACTGGCTGCCTATTGAGTACCGGATCTGTTTCAAGATGTTGGTGCTTACCTTTAAAGCCCTATACGGCCAGGGGGCCACATATCTGCAAGACCGCCTCTCCCTCTATGAGCCCTGAAGGCCTTTCCAATCAACATCTTCTCGTGGTCCCTGGCCCCAGGGATATCCACCGCTTCAACTAGGGCCAGGGCCTTTTCAGCCCTGGCCCCTACCTGGTGGAATGTGCTCCCATACGAGATCGAGGCCCTGTGGGACCTTTTATAATTCCGCAGGGCCTGCAAGACGGAGCTCTTCCGCCAGGCTTTTAACTAGGGCAACAGACGTCCCTCCCTCTTTTCTAGGCCTCCCCTCAGCGTTTCAGAACTGCATACCAGAGTTGTCATCTGTGAGGTTTTAATGTCAATGACAACAGCACCAGGTGAAGGCCATTGTGGTATTTTACTAGTGTTCTAATTGTGTTAATTGTTAATATTGAATTTTTATCAAATTTGATGTAACCTGCCCTGAGCCTGCATTGCGGGGAGGGCGGGATATAGTAGAATAAAATAAATGAATGAATGAATGAATGAATGAATGAATGAATGAATGGTACAGAACAGGGGGAAACCTGGATTTAAAAGAAGGCTGGATTCGATTTTAGTGCAGAATTGCTTGGAGACACCATGTTGAACATGGATTAAAAGGAGAGTGCAGAAAGGGCCAGGGAGAAGGAAGCACTGACCTGCATTTGACTAGTTGGTATGCACTTTTATATAGTAAGTAATTCTCCAAACCAAATCATGTAATGAATTGATAAGTTACTGTTAAGTTCTGTTTTGTTACCTCAGCCTTTGCCCTAAGTTTATCATTCATGAAAGCTCACAATGTCCTTCCTCAAAATTTCTTGTTGAAATCTGCTTTTCAAACAACCATACACACAATATCCATTCTGCCCCGACCCAGACTGCTACTTACCATGCCCTATCAACATTGATCTTTCACACCTTTCCCACAATTGCAAAAGGAAAAAGACAGAGAGAAACTCATTTACCTGAGAGTATTCCATCGACAGGGCCTCTTACTCCTAAATTGCTGTAGAAAAGAAAAGTGCAAGAACACAAATCTGATAAAATAAGGGTCATGCAAGGGTCATACATTCACAAGCAGATTCTGAACGATGCTGCCACTAAAATGTGAAGTGAATTGTGGGAAAGATTTGGTATTAGGCATGATGTAAGTAAATGAAACATGCCTACCATGTTACAGAGAAGCCTAACCCATCCTATTTTTTATTAACAGGTAGGGTTGCCAAATGAGGGTGGGGTGGGGAATCCCCCGCTTCGGAGGCCCGATTTCTGCTGCGGTAGAATCGGGCCCTGGGGGGGACTCCGCCCCCGAAGCTGCATCACCGGAGGTGACGCAGCCATGTCTCTCACATTGGGGGCGTGGCCCACATCATCGGGGGGGAACCATATGGTTTTCCTCCCGATGATCTGGGCCATGCCCCCAACATGAGCACGTAGAACGTCCCTTCCTATGATGTGTTGCCGGCGCGCGCGCGCCCGTCAAGAACTCCCAGACCCCGGCGAGGCTCCCCCGCTCTGAGGGGTGAGTTGACTTGGCAACCCTATTAACAGGCACTAATTCTGAGAAAATACAAACAAACAAACACTGTGATAAGCTGGCTGTCATGGTTCTCTCTCCTCCCAGACCAGTCCAGGATTGGGAAAGGAAAGAATCATGTACTGAAACAAGGAAATTACACAAGAACCCAGGAGAGGTATTCTCTCTGGATTTACAGACACAGCCACCAGAACCTTTCAACTATAGTCCCCTCCAGTCCAAGAGCAGGTTCAGACTCTCAACTGGCCTCTGGGACTTTATAACATAAAGTAGCTTAACTTGGTGAGCGGTTTCAGGCCACAGGATTTAACCTTGGAGTCAAATGTACATCCATCAAACACAAGTTATCAATAGAATAAATTTTATTTGTCACAGACTTGCAATCAGAACTAGAAAGAGTTTAAAATAAGAAAGGCTAAGCAAGATTTTGCCTAACTATACAATAGAGCATATTTACCAACATTAAGGAGGGTCAATAGTCCATAATAAGAGTCCAATATCTTGAGGAACAATAGTTGCATCTTTGCGAGCCCATAGCCATGTGCTTCCTCACAAAGAATCCTTTGTCTTGTCTCATCCCATGGTAGAGAGACAGCATGTCAGGGTACATCCAGGAACAGAGAGAGAGAGCAAGCCAAAAAGTGAGCTCCTCTCTATGTGTTAGTCAATTTGAACCCCAATCTCATTATGATCAACTGTGGCCAGCAGCCAATCACAATGAGACAGGTACTTTCCAAATTTGGGGTTGTCATGGTAAATGGGTGGGAATAGGTTGGTTCTGGGGATCATCCTCCTGCAGTAAGATGATACCAGCCCAACCCACTTTGCCTACGTGCGTCTCTGCCATGCTTCGGCAGAGGCATTTGGTTTATGGTGGCAATTTGGTCAGGCATCTGGCTTGCATAGGAAGTCAGCACAACAGGGGGTCAGCTAGATACATTCCA